AATCAGAGAATACTGAAATTAGATGAAAAATTTCTTTATAAAAATAAATACAAGAACATAAATTCTTTCGATACCACGATTAGAGGCAATGAAATATCTGATAAGTTAGCTAAAAGTGTTTTATTCAAAACTACAGATTCAGATTTTAAAATTTATCATAATAGCACAAATTTTGAAATTAACAAAGTAATAGGAGAGAAACAAGAATTGGTAAAGACCAACATAATAATAATAAATGAAAAAGTTTTAAATCTGGAATACAAAATGTGGAAAAAAATCAATTTGCTCTCATGAAAAAGCTCAAATATTATAAATCGGACATACTAGACTTACACCCAGTTTTATTTAATAATATGGAAAAATAAATAACAGAAAATTAAAAAAAAATTTTATTTAATATTAAAAGAAATTTTGTTTTTTTAAACTATTTAAGAAGAATTGGACTTTCTTCGTGAAACCATTGTAAAAGTTCATGTATTTTAAAAAATTTGTGTTATATAACAGAAATATTTTTATATTTTTCTTTTAGTATAATTTTTGTTGTTACAATAAGAACCGGACTTAACTCCATTTAATATTGACAACACTTTTCGCATTGTAGTAAGTTCCCAACATAGACATTTATTGTAGTAAATTTTTTTTTAACAATGCAGCTTTCATTATAGAGGAAGTCTTTTACTTTTAATAATAAAATAAAAACTAATCTAGAATATTACTAAACAAAAATGGTAAAAGAGAAAAATTTCAAAAATTTAACAATTAATTGCCAATAAAAATAAATTTTTTTTTATTAATATTTTTTATTATTTTACATGGTCTAGCTTTCTAGTTATTGTATTTCGATGAGACAAAATAATAATAGGGAGATTTTTCACTCAAATATTATATATGTATAAGTTTTTATTTCTGTTTTGTTTTATAATGTTTGTGAAAATTTCAGGAAGGCAATTCCAAATCTCATGAGAAATATTGAAAGATAAAAATGACGCAATATTGCTCGAACAAATAGTATAGCTTTTACTCTAATAAAGTAAATTACTCCTTTGGCAGGAGCAATAGATCTTATACCTCAATGTAAAATAATATATATCGAAAATTAAAATTAGTAGTTCAGATTATTATTACTCATGGAAGTGCAATTGTTGTACTATTTTGTAAAGTAAATTTGTATTTGTATTTTGTAAAGTAAAAAAGTAAAATTCGTGAATTACACTAAGGCGGATTGATTCGTCGTGAATTACACGACGGCGGATGACACGACTATCATCGAACATTTTCACTACAATTGTAAAAGGAATTCAGATTCCTAATGCTATTGTAGTAATTTTTTTTACAGTAAATATTCTAATATAAGAAATAAAATTTCAAAATATTACAAAAGGTAATGCACATCTTATATAGTCTAAATTTTGAAGTAGCACAAAGAAGCAGCACAATTATTTTACTATCAAATTAACTTTCATAATATTACAATTAAAAATGTTGAATACATTGTACATCGCTTTATCTTCAAACCAAAATCTAAATCTATTTAGTTAATATATTTTTGCACGAAATATTTTTAACACTCAAATACATTTCTTTATAAAATAATTCAAAAAGTGTTGATATAATATTATACACTATTAAGGGTGGCTCCTTTCAAAAAAAAATATTGGTATAAAATGTTATTGACCGTTGATTAGTATGACCTTGACCATGAAAATAATTTCGTTAATACCATAGAAGAACCAACATACCTTGAAGACAATTATTTTTGTTTTTTTAATTGATGCAACTAAAATTATAGAATGTAAAGTCAGTTAGGTAAAGTTAGTCAACTATATTGTTAATAAAAGTATATCTAATTGACGCTCATTTATTAGAGATGTTTGAATTAAAAACACCTAAAAGGTAGAACCAAGAATAATACTCAAAATGAGTATTATATGAGAAAAAGAAAATTAGTATAATAATACTGTTTTCAAAGTTCAACATTACGAAATATTTAAGGCTATTTTCAAGGACAAAAGTGGACAAAAATATGATTAAAATTAAGTTTGTAAGTCCGCTTCATGTCTCTTAATTATGTACAAAATTTTGATATTAAGATAAATAAAGCATGCAAATCTCAATTTTGTATAAAAACAGTGCGTATTTTAACAAAAATTTTCATTTGTAAAATTTGAAATCCATCTGAAGTGTTAGTAGCTGAAACAGAGTTAGAATTGAAATATTTTCTTTCAATTTTTAATTTTTTTTTACAATAAAAAAATCATCTCAGAATCCTTTGATTTCGTACTGTTTACTTCTTATTGTTTTACTCTTCGTATTGTTCACAATAAATAGCTTCACTAAGGAATATGATTATGTAAAAAAAAGTGCATCAACAGTTTACAAAATTAGTAAGCCTTATTCTTTTATAGTTTCACTTTTTTAATTATAATTTTCAAGAAATAAATATTTTTAAATGCCATACACAAATTTTTTTTTTACAATTTAAAAAGAAACATTTTCTTCCACAACATTCAGTTTTTTATCCCAAAAAAAATTGCTTTTAATACATTACTTACCAATCGAAAAATATTTCAAAGGAATAATAATAAAGTTAGGTCAAACCAATGGTTTGTAATGTAGCACTTTTCCCTTCAGAAAGTGAAAATACAGATTTTAAAAACAAACTATGTATTATTAAAATTACTATCATTCATATACAAATATTTTTCAAGGATTGAATACAATTAGGACGAGCAATCTTCGGAATAAAACAAAAAAATTGGAAAGGGTGTTAACATAATGCCTGAACTTAAGGGTTAATGAATGGGTGATTTAAGAAAAATAATAATATTTACCATCAGGATGAAATTTACGGTTAGATTTCTGCATTTATAGAAATTTCAAAAAGTTTGTAGTTTCGGAAGTATAAGGGGCCAAAAATTTAAATTTTATAAATTTCGAGAGGTGATAACTCGAGGAGTAGAGGTGGAAAAAAACTTTTCTTTTAAGAAAATGAACTATTTATCAGTATCTGAAAGCTGCTAAAGTTGTAGACTTCGACATACCACAAAGACGATATTAAAAAATTTGGAAAAAACAGATACATAATAAGTTAGACAGTAAGGTCAAATTTTTACGGCCATTTTGTTTTTTTCGTTACAAGAAATAATCAAAAAATTACATTTTTAGGCCTTTGAGAGGTTTTACCTTTTAGAGGAGGGGAGATAAATAAAAGTTTTTTAAGTTTCTAGTAAAGATTTATATAAATATGAAATTTCAGCTTTCTATCTCCAATTATGTAGAAGATTTGAAAACAGTTTGACGGACGGACTGACCGACGGACGAACAGAGTGAAATTAATAACGACTTTTTTCAAAATATTTTTTGAATTTTATTAAAAATTAAGAATTAATTAAAAAAAATAATTTTACTTTAAGGTTTTTCATATTTTTAATACTGTTTTTGACTTTAATAAAGAAATTATTATCGTAATTCCTCTTTAACTATACAGGCCCCTCTTTCCTCTTTAACTATATTAATAATGGTAAAATATTATTATTTTGTAATAATTAAACAGAAAAATTTTGTTTTTAATTACTTTTTGTTCAAAAACAGAGAATTTTTTTGCAACTTTTAAATTTCAACAAAAGTTATTTGACCTTTTTCAGAAAAAAAGAAAATATTTTTATGAAGAAATTTTTAAAAAAGAAAAACCTTAATAGATTTTCTCAATAAGTTCGCCACACAAACGCATAAATACTGCCTTAAAGATTAAAAGTGCCGATGCACAATTAATATTTTTTAATTATGTTTAAAATTGTAAAATAAAACAAAAGTCCTTCATTTATAAAGATATAATAATTATAAATTCCTTCGAAACAAAAATCGGCTTTTTCACTGTCGTTTTTGTGCAGTATTAAGTACTCAAGGTAATTTTCATTATAATATGCACTATGTCCAAATAAATAAATGCAGGAACTTACAGTAAACGTATCTTAAGTAAAGTTAAAACAAAACGCGCTAAAGAACCACGCTTGCTTATGAAAGAAGGACATCCTGCAGATATTGTAAAAACTGTTTAGCATTTATAAAGAAATCTAAAAGGAAAAGTTTACATGTTATGAACGAACAAAAACTGTAGTTTATTTTTGTATTAACCGCTTTGAGATTTTAGATAATTTTGAAAAAATTTCTTCTCTTGAAATTAGCATTAAAAGATTGCATTAGCAACTGTATTGTGAGCAAATCTGCTTTTCATGTAAAGAATAGGAGCTTCTGTGATTAAATTTATAAGTTAACTACATTTCGTTCCAAAAATGAGCTTATCTCAAAAATCTCAACTCAATCCATAAGTTTAATATTCTATGTATTTTACGTAAATCACACATTAAAAACGTTTTACCGTTATAAATTTAAACTTATATTAATGACCAGAGTTCGAGTATAAATTTATAAATAAATTAAATTAGTTGGAAAAGAGCACTTTCTCAAGTTTTTAACATCACTTGATTACGCTCTCATATAATGAAATCATGATTTAATGAAAAATTATGTGTGTACGAATAATAGAGAAATTTGATATTCCAGTAAACTCATAAATAAATTATTCAAACAAAATTTCCGAAATTTCCGAAAAAAATCTCCAAACATCTGCACATAGCATTGACATTTTTATATTATTTTTAATGAAACTTCATTTTGTCGTGTCCCTTTTCTGATTATGCCTTATTCAATTTATATTTTCACTTTCTTGACTCATTTTTAAAATGATATTAAAAATTTTTAATCTCAATAAATATGCAATAGATTTCCCGATCCCGAAATATTTGAATTCATTTCTATAGTACTCAATAACACAAATAAGTTCAGTCTCGTATTTTGTCGTCATGCCAAGTTTTAAATACTTGAATCGATATGCTTAATTACATTAATAATTCAGTCACAATATATTTATAAAACTCATAGTTCTTTTACTTAATTTAATTTTTTAATACACTCTTTTCTTATTACAAATTTAATTTCAGTTAATAAAATGTCACCGCGTCCATCATTAGTACCAACAGAAGCATCAGATATTTCATCACAATATAGTAATGAATCATCACAACCATCAAATAATAATAACAATATTAATAATAATTCGACAACATCAAGCACTACAACAATTGGTAATAAACAGGAACCGGGTAGACGTGCTGGAGCATGTCGTGTTTGTTTAAAATCATTTAAACCAGATGATTATAGTAAAACCTGTTTTGAATGTCAACAACGTGTTTGTGAAGACTGTGCTAGTTATAGTAAATTAGATGAAAATGAAGATGTTAATATGTGGCGATGTAGTGTATGTAGAAGAAAAATGGCCTCAAGGGTGTGCATACAACAGGATTCAACTGATTCAATGTTAGATGTACCCGTATTAGAAGCATTACAACGACGTCATTCTGATGTTAAATTGGGTTCAACGACTAATTTATCACCTGGTAATGGTATAGGTGCATTAGCACCACCTCGTTCACCAGAATTAAGAAGACATTCAGATGTATCACCGGCATCATTAAAAGAATTAGAAAAGGTAAAATGCAATTCATTAATATTTTTTCTCATCTTTTTTTATGTTATTAATTATGAAAAAATAAATATGTAGAAAAGTATATTTGATTTTTTTTTGTTGTTTTTTTTTGTTGACTTTGTTTTAGTAATAGAAAATAATAAATAATTAATTAGATGACGCCATTTTTAATTAATATTTCTTGATGCGAATATTATATAAATATTAAAAATAATAATGTTTTAATATGTAAGACAACTACATATACAATTATGGTACGTTCTGTAGGGAGTCGAAAAAGGGCTTTTTAATAAAATTAAACTGAAAATTATCTAAGAGAAAGTTGACAATTCTAATTAATATTTTCCTTCGAAAAACATAACCAAATATTTATTTTACCTAAAAATATGTATATACATATGAAATAAATGTATATATTATATACGTATATAACAAAATCCTTAAGACTTAATTCCAAGACGTTCAAATATTTGTAGATGGTAAAAAAAAATTAAATGAAATTAAGAAAGTTTATAATAAAAATTCTTACGTCCACCATGATATTTAGATTTTATTAATGAATTAACCTTCTTATAGCTTATTTTAACACTTAAATACAGCATATTGTTTAACGTTAACATCCTTTTTATACTAGCTAGGGGTTTAAACAAATTATCACTCTATATATGTAAACGTATAATTGCAAAAAAGGAAACAGAACGGAAATAAAATAAGATGACATTAAAGTTAAAATAAATTTAGAAATAAAGTTTTTTCTGCAAATATTAAAGATTTTCTTATAAACTTTTCTTATTAAATTCTTTTGCCTTAATTTTTTTTTTTTAATAAAATTTAAGGATAATATTATGGAAGATATGTGATTTAATTTTTCTCCTTCTAAGAAATTATTTGCCGTATATAATAATATACAGTGGTAGAGAAATTAGTAATTTTTTTAATTGAATACTATGAAATTGTTGTCGCAATCTTTAAACTTGTATTATGCCATTTATATATTAAAGCGGAGGATCAGAAAATCTGCTACTCAGGGAAAATTTATATCTAAAATTATCTAAATAAATTAATGGTTGAAGAAATTCATAATTGTAATTGATTAAGAAATGCCAATTTATAGTAATAATGGTAGAAACTGATTTAAATTGGCTAACTTAAAATATTCAAAGATCCTTAATTTACTTCAAGGAAATACAACTAAATTTAAGACATATTGGAACATATTTAAAAATTAAATGTAAAAGAAGAAATAAAAATAGATGAAAACAATAAAAAGAAGGAAAAATTATTGCCAAAAGTACAACCTACCATAAAAATTTATATTTAAAAATTTGAAGGAATTTACTTTAAATAAACAATATATTTGAGAAGCAATACCAAAAAGGTAAACAGCAATTAAATCAAAATCGACAGAATGAGGGATGATTTTTGTAATTGCTATAAATATTTTTCAACAATATGAACAAAAACTCAACAATATATTAAATGCTCTAATTGATATTGATCAATTTTACGAGTTTAATTAAAATTTTTGCGAATTCATTAATTGTTCTTTTTTCAATCAAATGATTGCCTTGTATAATTCGACGAAAAATGAGACTTGTAAATAACAAAGACGTTTTATGAGTAAAAAGTTAAGGCATATTCTATTAATTTTATTTTTTATGAAATTCAAGAGCTGGAATAATGTAGATACTAAATCTGGGGTGATATTCAGTAAATTATTAAAAAGTAGGTACCCTACTCAATTTCAGTGTTACCAAGCCATCGTATTAAAATAGAGTAATTTAAAACAGAATTATATAAAAGATTACTTATTAAAACAGCAAAATTGGTTACCTAGATTTTTGAAAGATTCTTATTTCTTTAGGAAAATTACTTTAATTTTTATCCTTAAATTATACTATTGGAATAGCCCTGAATAATTTAACGTTCCCTTATTTATTCAAAGCAAAATTTTTTTAAATTCTTACGTATTATGCCCATTTTCTCAATGTGTGTTACACAAATTCGTACAGTAATTGTATATAATCGTACGTGGTTAAAATATTTATTAATACCCTGAAATAAAAGACCTGTATATATATATATATATATATATATATATATATATATGTATTAGTACATAAATATTATATCATACTTGATTATATTTAATATTAACTAAATTATCGAAATTTTTGTATTTGAAACAGTAAAACTTTTATTAAGATACTAAAAGATTAAAAGAAATGAAACGAAAAAGTCAATGTCAAAACTTTTATTATAAATTGATCCTATGTAAATGTATATAACATTTAAACCTAATATTTATTTACCGTAACTAACGTTACAAGTTTTAATTAATCTTTAAAATTATTTGCCAAAAAAGAATTCATTTCGTAAGAATTTTGGTTTCGTTGTTCTTTATTTTTAGACCTCGCAACATAATTTCCAAAAAATTTTTTTGAGAAAGAATTTTTTTTTACTTATAACTTTTTTTTTTAACCTACAACATTTATCAGTCTGTAACTTTAATTAAAGATACCAAAACTAATCACAAAATTTAATTAATAATTTAATTTGAAAAAAAAAAGTTATGTATACCCCTATATACATATGTAAATAACATTGAAACTATTTTAAATACAAAAAAATTTAATTTTTTAGCTCAAAGGTACTAAAACTCCTGGTGGTGATATGGATTGGCGTAGAGGTGGTGGACGTAGTATGGCACCAAGTCGAGCATCAAGTCCACCACATGCTGAATTTGAAATTGGTGGACAACAATTGAGTAGTATAGCACCACCAATATCACGTATGGCATCAAGGCGTGGCTCTAGGGTATCACGTCAACATAGTTATGATGATGATATTAAAGGTGGCGGTAATGTTAATCCAGCACAAGGTGGTGGACAAAATGAATTGGGTTTAGGTATGCCAGCAATACCAAGAAGGTAAATACAATTTAAATAAAATATAAATTTATGTTTAAGAATATACTTTGCTTATTTTACTTTTAAAGGAAATCTGCATATGATGTATTTGCGCCGGGCGTTTTACAAGCAGCACAACAAGTTGCTGCTTTAACAGCTGCTAACAGACAAGCTGAAACAATACCAATTGTTTCTGTACAACCTAGTTCAAGACGTCCATCATTTAGAGCACCATTACCAAGTGATGATTTACCAAATCAAGAAGATTCACCCCTTAGTCCTGAAACTACAACATCAATATTGGCTGTGGAAGATGATAGACGTATAAGACGAAGAGGTTCACAATTGTAAGTATTTTTATGCGCATAGGTTTCCTTTTATTATTATAATTTAACATTATAAAATTTATGAAAACAAATTTTAGACCCGATATAGCAGCATTACGTGATAGAGGTGCAATACCACCAACACAATTAAATCCAGTACCACCACCGATAGCTGCATTTACAGGACCTAATTTAGAAGATTTAGAAGCACCAAGACGACAAACCTCAATGGATGGTGAAGCGATTAAAATTGTAATACATGATGTCGATTCTGGACCAATATGTGCATCAAAACGTCGTATAGTTTTAAGACGTGATCCGACTGACAAAGCACATCGAAGTAAGTGAATTAACTAAATATTATTTTATATTACATATTTATATAAAATAATATAAGAAATAAAATATAAATTTCAATTTTTAATAATTAAATTTTGTGAAAATTTGACATTCATAATTAACGCTTTCATTTATCAAAAAAAATAAATCATTTTAAATATTTTATTCTTATTTAAAAAAAAATTTTTCACTTAATTAGCAAAAGCAAAAGTGTTTTATATTACATATTTTAAACCATATTTTTTATATTATGTCGCTTATAATGTGTTTGGATGGATATGCAAAATATTATAGTATATTGTATGTACAATTCGTAATGTGCATAACTATAAAATCTCCAATAGCAACCATGATTTCTGAATTATTTATATTAAAAATATGATTTGAAAATATTACAAACCATGTACTTGCATTTATTTAAAAATCAATAATCGCATGCATCATTAGCCCTATTCGATTTTAAACAAGAAAACAAAGCCTCTCAATCAATTTTGCAAATTGATTCAAGGGAGTGAGGTACCAAAGTCATTTTCACATAATTGTGTTTTATTAATTCGAAAACTTAAATTTTAAAAAAACTCTTACAGTAGTGTTATATAATCTTGATGTACGAAAATCTCCAACTAAAGCGTTTATTAAACTGCCAGAAGCGTACTAGGCTAAGAGAAAGACTAATTGTGAAGGTTGAAGAAAATGCAAAAGTGTGCTGTGAGCCTCTTCACACAGAAGTACCTCAAAATCAAAATATAGGCATAATTCCACAATTATAACAAATTTTTTGATTCGGAGAGCTTCACAGCAATCTTTTAAAAGAAGAATTTTGTTAACTCAATGGAAATTTTGTTAACTTTTTTCATACAACTGCAGAATAGATGGATAACCCTAATCAAAGGAGCGTTATAAATTAAAAAATTTTTCTCCCCGGACTGGATTCGAGCCAGTGACCTACCGCTTTCCAGATGGACAATCTAGCAACTGAATGTAATCCATATGATTACCAAGTGTTGTTTACATTAATTTCAGTTGACTGGTTCGAGTTCAATCCGGGAAGGAAAATTTTTTAGTTTAATTTGCTTAATAGGCACGATTCCTATTACTTAAAAAAAACTACACGTTGTATAAGTAATTCATTAAGAAATTCAGTTTTTACTGTAGAAGAAAATTATGTCTTTCGATATTTAATTTTCAGAATTAATATTTCACTCGCGGCCTACAAAGAAAGTTTTTGAGTATCAACAATAATTAGAAAATTGTTTCTGAAAATTCCAAACTCCAAATTCTCTAACAGTTAAAGAAATTTTTTTGTGTATATTAACATGTGCCATTAACAGGATTCTGAGTTATTTATCAAATATTTAAACGTTTACGATATCATATGAATATTCTTTAATATTTGAATTTATATATTCAAATTAAAATTGTATAATCTTCAAAAACAAATTAATCAGTTAAATGAAATAAATGTACTATAATATAAAAATACTATTCAGATTGTTTCGCATAATGTGGCAAATAATTTCAGGGATTAATACAATTTTTTTCTCGAAATTGATTAAAAAATTATCCCTGAAATAATTTGCCACTCTAGGCGAAACATACTGTATAATAATGTATATAATAATACTTAAACCCTTCTGACTTAACTATACATTATCTAATTATATTATCTATTACTTAATAATATTTATCTTTAAACGCATTTTGAGAATCAATGTTTTGCGTATGATTAAGAACAGAAAATAAATTTATTTTTATGAAAAATTCAGATTATCAATTGATTGAAACATCATCATTGATTACGTATTATAACATTTTAATTAAAATATTTAATTGATGATAAATTATTTTTAATTATATTGCAAATAATTATTATATTGACATAATATACATATGTGCAAGTTTACAAATTTTTCTGTATAATAAATTTACACAAAGTAAATAAAATGTGGTAAATTTAATGAAGCAGTAAAATGAATAAAAATTTTAATTATTAAATTTATTAAATGTAAGTACCACATAAAAGTTTTCATAGCGTAATTCCAAGAGACAAAAAAGAATTAGTATACACATGAAATAAAAGTGACTCTTATTAAGTAATTGCTTTTTTAGCCCTTATTTACTACATTAACCCAATAAAATACTACATTTACCTAATTTAGTACTACATTAACTCAATAAAATGAAAATCCAGATGGGCCTTACCTTATTATAAATAGTCAAAAATCTATAATGATAATAACTTGCTATTTCCAATTGATTTAATGTTAAGATTTGAGAGAATAATCATTCAATATTTACAGAGACATACATACATACATATGTAACTACTCAGATATTGTTAAAAATAATTAATGAAACTATAAAATAAATTCAATTTTATGTTGATGCAACGTTATTTTTGGAAATGAATTTAAATTTTTTTTTAACTAAGCAATGTAAACCGTAAGTAATGTACGGACTACAATTAATTCCAAAAAATTCGGAACAAAGAAAATTGGTTTCATTTCATAGCTACATATATATAAAATACCTATACCTATATGAAGAGTAATTCAACCTTTAATTTCCCATATTATCTCGAAGAATGATCTATTATTTTTTTTTTAATAAATTTTAAAACAAAAAATTTAATGGAAATTTCTTCTTTATTTTCCTAAAGTACTAACTATATAAAAATTTCTCATCTACCCTGTACAGTATGCAAAATTTTCAATTTAGTTTTACAACTTCGAAGAAAATAAGAGGATGCATACTAACAATTTGTTCAAATAACTTATTTATGTAAGCATACCTTTTTCTAATTAAATACTTAATAAAAAACTTGCCATTTGTTCTCATAATTTGTGAATCGTATGTAATTTTGGAAATTTTAAAAAATAAAGCTTTCTTGACCTAGCAAAATTAATATTTTCGTTTCAAAATTTATGTTTCTTATATGAGATATCTAGAATTTCCTCTTGAACTTATACTAGTAGATTAAGCAAATGTCAGAGAACTTTAATTCTTAAAATTAAAGATTTCTTATTGTAAATTAGTAGAAAATTTAAAATTCTTTATCAAACTCGCCAGATATACTCATTATAATATGACAATCGTTTACACTCTACTTTCTTCATTAATTAATATACTAGTGTTGTGTAAATGATAATAAGTATTCAAGTTATCTTCATCACACTTTAATGGTCAGGTATATTAATTTCTGAAAAGATGATATTATAAACTTCTGCAATGAACATAGTGGCTTGCAAAAATCAACAACTATTTTTTGATTCTTCTCCATTTTCACTAAAAGTGTGTATAATAGAATGGATAACTCCATAACTTATCCATTCAATTTGAATATTGAAATTTAATCACTATATATTTATATATATATTCATGTACTTTTTAATGAAGTGTAAATTGCAAAAGTTATATGTATATATATACAATACAGATTATATAACTTTCTATTTAATGAAATCGATAATGGTTTCTATTAAAAAGAAGTGAAAGGATTTTATAATAATTTTGCAATATTTCAAAAAGAAAAAACAAAAAATGGAAATAATTGAAAACTTTCGAATAATTGAAAAACTTTTCTATTATACCTTAAAGTTTTCTTCTCAATGCAAATTAAGTTATCAAAACTTTAAAACTATTATTATTAGAGAATTGTTATTTTAAAATTCAGGTGTAAGTTTTTTTAACGTATATCATTTTTAAAATAAGTATATATATACATAAGAAACTTTTTATTTAATTTAATACATACACAACACGTGCGATATCGTTTACAAGTGGTATTGTAAATTTTTTAATTAGTTTGTAATGTTGAACTATAAGAAGAATCTAATATCGATATTTATTGTACTGCATCTACAGTTAACGTTTGTTATTAATGCAAGATAAGAACAAAAGCAAAAACTAGTTGATCACACTCTGATACAAATAATATTATGACAGCAGAGACACTAGAAAACATTGTAACAGTTGGATTCATGGTATATAACAAAAGAAAATTTTCATTACAATTCAACTTGAAAACAAGCTCCTCTCCATGATTCATATACAAAATTCTGCTCTATGGCGCTTTAAAACATTACATTAGGCGTTTACTGTATAATTTTGTTAGTTGAACGGTTAAATTAATATTTGTCTGCATTTTTATTACATTTACGCCTTCACACATTGTATTAAATATGTATCAAATCTCTTTAAGCTTTTAAGTGCAGTATTTATGGATTACAGACCCTCTTTTTGTGACGACTCATATTAATTCCCTTAACTTTCAATTGATACCTATACATTCACCTGTTATACACACTTATGATAATCCGGTACATTTCTTGTCGTTATGGCCTCAATTCTAACAGTTCTATATATATATATATATATATGTATATATATATATATATATATATAATTAGTCACCATTTAATTTACTCTAATTCAAAACGAAAGCATCTCTTCCGCCTTTTATGTCTCAAACAAAGTCAAAGCTATTGATATTTTTGAAACCGCAACAAATTTCTTTTCTAATGATATCCTAAAGTTTTCTTGAACAACCCCAAAATTTACCCTTCAACCTGTTTTGTGTTCTTCGCATCACGCTCATCACGCTCTTTTACATACTTGTTTTATATACTAACATATTACTGGTATACATATATGTACATACATATCCATATATATTTATATTTGTAATTACATTACACCCTAATCAATATGTCAATACAATACTCTATCTTCACAGGTAAAAATTTCTTCTATAAATTCATTCTATTGTAATATTTTTAAGAAGAAAAAAAAGGATAAAATTCCTTTAAAAGAAAAGGACATTTATTTTTTTTTCTCTTCTTTGACTTTTTCTTTTTTCCTTTTTCATTTCTTTAAATACCTTTTGAGAAAGAAAAAATAGAAATATAATAAAGCAGCATTAAAATCAGAAGAAAAGTGACATTTATATAACAGCAAAGTACACCTTTTTATTTGATTACCTGTTCACTTTTCCATCAACAA